CTAGAAGCTGAAACATGACCAAGAAGGAAACACAGATAGATGCCTTAATGTTTCTGTGAAGTTTTGATGCCTCCTGTTAGGACCATTTCAAACATTTGCATATTTTTGGGCCATCATGAAACTGGATTTTATAAACTGACTGAATCGATTAAAGGGCAATAACAATGATATAAATATGATAAATATGATGATATAAATTAAAAAAAGATGCTGCTTTTAGGTCAGGTGACATGCTGGCCTACAGAGCTGCCCAAAGGAACTAAAAAAGGGCATCAGAGACGCCAGGGACAAATATAACCAATCACATTGAGGGTCACGTTGGGAACAACGACCCCAGAGCATGTGGAGAGGAACTAAAACCTGACTAATTATAAAAGCAACATCACACTGGTCAGTCAGGACAGGGACCTCCCAGACATCCTCAACTGCTTCTTTGCCCTGCACTTTGACAATCAACATGACCCTTCACACGGCCCTGTCTCACCTGGAGTACCCAAACACATATGTAAAGATGCTATTCAAATAAGCCTTCAGTACTGTCAATTCCAACAAACTGGTTGAAAAGCTCATCAATCTTGGACTTCGAGTGAGGTGGGACTTTTTAACCGACTGCAAGGATAGGAAACCTGACATCATCCACCATAATCCTGAACACAGGTGCTCTGCAGGGCTGTGTTTCCCCATCCACTCCTCCAACACCGTAATTTTAAGTTTGACACACAGTGGTGAGACTCATCTCCAGCAACAACCAGTCCTACTACAGACAGCAGGTCCCACACCTGGCGGAGTGGTGTTTGGACAACAACCTTTGTCCTACAGTATACACCACCAAGACTAAGGAGGTCACTGTGGATTTCCGGAGGCTCAGGAGGACCACACAGTGCCCACTGACCATAGACGGGGAAGAGGTGGAGAGGGTGAGCTCCATCAAATTCCTGGGAATCCACATAACTGAGGATTTTTCAATAATAAAATAAAAAACATGACTACATAATCAAAGCGTTCTGATGCAATTTGAGCAGAATTCACCTTGACTTATCTCAAACACTACACAGTGAATAATGTGAAAATTGACAAGGAATGAGCAAGGGACATGGGGAATAAGAATCTGTTGAAAGTTTCTTGTCAGCTATTAGAAATATTTCAAAGTAGAATAATAAGTATGACTACATAATCAAAGCGTTCTGATGCAATTGGAAGAAGTTGCCTTTAATTATCTGAGGAACTATACAGTAAAATAAGCTTAATAAAAGGATCAAAACGTACATGCAGCAGCTGGTGGTAGTGAAATACAATATTGACCAAACATTAACTGTAAGTGTGATAAACTTGTTTATTCTGAATATAATTAAGGAGTGTACCACTGGTGTAGCAACGCTGAACTTTTATTAACAATGTGCTCTCTTAACACCCATCTCTCAACAAACTGCTCTCATGTCGTGTAATGCTCTTTATGTCACTCCGGTTCTCATAAACTCATAAACCCCTTTTAAATGCAGCCCTTGTCAAACACAACATCATTTGTTTTAATACAAACATATATTCTCTTTTGTTTCAAAACAATCACAGCATCCTTCTTTTTTTTCCCCAATACAAATTATATAATTTTCTTTCTCCCCCATTGTGATGAAGGGCAACCTCACCAGGCTTACAGGCAAAGTGACTGTTCAAGAAGCAGCCAACAGGTGGCAGCGATGCACCCCCCTGCTGATGGCAGAGCAGGCTTTTGAGAGTCAGTCGGTGCAGAAGAAAGGCTCATGTGTTTCTGTGGACAGTTTATTAGTGTTTGCTATGCCCTCTTGGATTTGTTTGCAGAATGTGTGTGTAGATGTGGTAGTTGCTTCTAAGTTGTTGCCTTGTAAGTCTGTTACTTTGTGTTATAGAGGGGGGGGGGGGGGGGAGCAGGGTCATGGGCCATTTGTGGATGACTTTGTGGCTTGGTGTGACGAATCTTTTCTCCACTTAAACGTTTCAAAAACTAAAGGCATGATCATTGATTTTAGAAAGTCCCCACCAAGCCAAATACCAACTGGTATCAAATCTACTGACATTGAAATTGTGGAAAGCTACAAACATCTGGGTGTTGTTCTGGACAATAGGTTATGTTCTACCTCCAAGAAGGTTCAGCAAAGACTGTTCTTTTTAAGAAAGATGAACTCTTTTACTGTTTCTACGGAGATGATGACTCTGTTTTATAAAACTTTTATTGAATCTGTTTGAAATTTTTGCATCGCTGCATGGTGTGGAAGCCTGAACTTGTCAAACAACAATAGACTTGGGAGACTTGTAAAAACAAGCAGCAGAATCTCAGGGAGGTGTCAGGTTGGGTTTTTGACCTTGTATAATCAGCAGGTCCTGAGGAAAAGCATACCACTTCACAGTGAGTTTGACCTTTTACCCTCAGGTCGTCATTACAGAGCTCCTGTGAGGAAGACTAAAAGACTCCAGGTCTCATTTTTACCAAGTGCAATTAATGTGTTAAACAACAATTAGCCATTTGTTGCTCTTTTTGCACTTGAATTGCACATTTGCACACCTCCACTTTGCACTTTCATAACTTGAATTTCCATTCTCGTATGGGCTCTTGACTGAGTATATTGTGCTGTTTTTATTTGGTTTTATATTTTGCTGTGTTGTCTGATTTTTTAATTTGTTTTGGTCCATGTTTTTATGGTGATGTTGTCCTTATGTTTCTTGTCTTCTGTGTGCTCCTGTCGCAACACAAATTTCCCCTTGTGGGACAATAAAAAAATCAGAATCTGAATCTATAGTGCATGCTAATCATTCCTTAATTGTTGCTTGTTAGCTTCTGCATCTGAGCATAGCAGCCACGTGCATTTTGTTAAGGCCTGTATATTGATGGAAGTTGTCTTTTATTTATTCTATTTTGATAATTGTCAGCTTGTTCAACAGTGATAATGTGCCATTTAAGTTTCAGCTACATTATGCTGTTTGCCTCCACTTCATGATGTCAAGCTGATTAGGTTGTATGTGATGTGTTGTTGTTGTTAGTGGCTTTATTTCACATTAATGTTTAATAGAGATGGATATAGAATATAGGACAATAATGTCATCCATGTAGACTGCCACTCCTTGCAGCCCTTTCAGAGTCTCCACCATTTTCCTTTCGGAAATCTCAGGCGCGCTGGTGATCCTAAAGGAAGACGCTCAAAACAGTACCTTCCACTAGTTGTTATGAAGGTGGTCAATCTCTGACTGTCCTTATCCAAATGTAAAAATGTACTCGGGGAACATATCTTTATTGAAAAACCTATCTACCTCTACCCAGGTGGAAAGGTTTGCTGTACCCTCATGCACCTTGTCTCAAAGCATCTGGACACTCAAAAAAGCAAACCTTATGTCAGAGTATTATTCATTGACTTCTCATCCCCATTCAATACAATTAAACCACACATGTTGCTCTCCGAACTGCACCAGTTGGAGATTAATCCTCTATCTCCTATGAGGTCCTTCCTCATTAACAGAAAGCAGCAGTTGTGGGTTAATGACACATACTCCCCCTGGTGCTCCACAATATTTTTTATAGGCACTCCCTATGTTTTTCTGCTCCACCATCCAGTGTCCTGCATTCTTGTCTGTATCAACATTTTGTCCTCTGAGGTCTTCACAGCCAGTAGAGGTGAAAATGCTCCAGCAGCACTTGCAGTATAAAGATCAAGAGCAAATTTAGACCAGCCAGTCTTCATAGCCGGTCCCTGAAGGTTCCTGATGGAATCAGTTGTTATAAACAGCACAAATAAGCTTCTTGCCCTGGTAGGGGTTTTTAACAGGTATGAAGTGAGCAGTCACCAAACCTGCATGTAACGTGTCTTTGTTGTAACTGAGGCTGCATAAACTCACTGATGGTAAAAACAAACAAACCAGACTTTATTTGTTTCCTTACACATACATTTGAATGTGCATATAGCAGGTAACAACATTTTAGTTTTTCTTCCATTTATGCTGGGGCATAAAAGTGGGCATCAGGTAGTTACTCCGTACTGAATCAATACCTAATCATTGGTTACTTCTTTTTGGTACCCAATTTAAAATGAGGAATGATACTGACTATAACTCAGTACTGAACCATTAACTGCTCATTAGATACTTTGTTGCTTAAAATTCAGTAACAACTTGATGGACAACTTAATATCCTCTTATAGCCAATTCTAGTTGTAGAAGATAGTTGAGGTCCGATGTTCCACACGGTTCCTTTAACTAAAGATAGCTTCTGGAACCATTTCTCAGCAGAGGGCATCAGTGGGCTGCAGCTTAATATCCACTTCCTTACCTTTCACACACCAAACATGTGTACTTGTCATCAAGGCTTTTGGATTAATTACATAATATTTGGTAAACACACTGGAGCGTTCAGTGAGAAACTAACTTTTACATTTTGTGCTGGTTTGATTTTTCCATTTTAAGGAGAATAATTATGAACTCATTCAAAATCAATGGTTGAATGAAAAGCTGAATAGGTCACATTGCTAACTTTATCATTAAATGTGTTGCAAAAGAGAGGACATGATAAGAACAGAACAAGCTGTATCATTTTTTAAAGCTATAAGCAGCTTCAACCTTGTGTGTGCAAACAAAATAGTGACCCAGAAAACAGCGCTTCAGAGCAATGCTACTAATCAATATTCCACAGGGCACCTTTTAGTTGTACTATTGAGAGATTAGAACTCATATGTACATAGTGGAGATGATTTAGTTTAAGTTTCATTGTTGGAAGAAAAAAAAAGGCTGATTTTCATCATCCATGTTTGATATCTTAGACGTGCTCAGACAGTATGTTAGGAAAAGGCTGCTGTGAAGGAAACATTTTTAAGAAGGGGAAATCCTGAATCCCATTGTGAAATAATGTCCTATGTCACTACCAAACCAAATGCTATTTTTGGTATGCTACCCTATGATGACTCCACAATGAGGGAAGGCGAAAAGCAAAAGCTTAGCCTATTCATAAATGTTGTGTGTTGAATTCAAAGACACCAGACTGATCCCTTTTTATTCCTGCTGCATTTAATGCACACTCACAGATCTTTCCTTACAGAACTCATCATCATCAAGCAATATTATCAGTTCTATGGTTTGCATCACTGTTAGACCAATCTACATAACCAAAATGACTGACAATAAATTCTAAACATCCATCATTTAACAGTGTTGGCATGGAATTTGTTACTTTTTACAAAAAATGATCAGTATCTAAAGTATAAAACAGCATCATATAAATACATGTACATTTCATCTAAAGCAATAAATAAAGCACTGCATACAAACATGATCGTACTAGGCCTTGATTTTTCATAGAAATGTTGCATTCTACAGTCTCTTAAATATCTTTTTCTGTACAAAGTAGTCTAAGAAGTGAAATACAACGTACAATCTGTTGGTAGTGTGAAAGCCCGCAGTGCCCAAACATTGTTTTTATAATTACTCTTTTTCTGCAGCATCAGAAAACAAAGACTAAATCAAATATGTCTTTTTTTATTCAGAGACAGTTTCACAGAAACTAAAAGAAGGATTGATTCCAGTGTTTGAAAATGAAATGTCAGACTTGATCTTAGATGAAAAACAAACTCTATACATCCCGCAGTGGTGATTCTGATTCTTTATTCCCTTTTTTCAGAGCTTTCACCCGGCATTTGTAGCAGACCACTGTGACAGCAACGATGAGGCCAATCAGCAGCAAGATGAGGAAGATGGCAGCGGCGATTACAGCCACTGAATACACTAGAAGAAAAAAGAATTAGCCTTTAATTGAGTAGTAGTTATCAATACATTCAAACAGGAGTCTTAAGTTCTTATTGTGTTCTCATTGAATTTTGGACAATGTCGGAGAAAAATGAAGGAAGGAACAAGATAGAACATGCTTTGGGAACACACCATGACTATCAGACTTGTTGGGCGTGTTCAGTGTCTTTTTTTGGGCGTGCAAATGTTATTTTTTGTTTGCTGTATAAAAGCATAGATAACTATTTATTTTGTGTTTAATACTTATTTTAAATTTGCTAAAGAACATAAGAAGAATTATATTATTATCATGCAAATTTAAGGTTTTATCCTGAGGATGAATAAAACCTCTAACCTTTATTTTTTTTCATCCATTATATGCCATGACTGTCAGTCTAATGTAAAAACATGTCACATAAAACTCAATGATGCGAATTAAAGCAAAAATGTTTTGAATTACTAAAACATATACCCAGTAAGGTCTTTCATTTTCATCAGACGTCTGTTGATATTATTAAGATTGTCTGTCCTGTTCTTATAGATGGAATGGTAAATGGACTTGAGCTTGTATATCGCTTTTCTAGTCTTCTGACTACTCAAAGGGCTCTGTCAAGGATAATTCAACCAAGAGCTGAGCAGCAGGACAAGAGCGTAATATATGACTATATGAAACAAATAAGTTTACATCCATCCATTATCTATAGGGCCACCTGTTCTGGGTCACGGGGGGGGGGGCCGGAGCCGATCCCAGCTGCCATTGGGAGAAAGGCAGGGCACCCGCTGGACAGTTTGCCAGTCGATCAAAGGGCTGACATACAGAGACAAACCACATTTCACACACACCTATGGCCAATTTAGAGTCACCAATTAACACAAAATGCATGAGTTTGGACTGTGGGAGGAAGCCAGAGTACCCAGAGGGAAGTCACACATGTATGACGAGAACATGCAAAAAAAATCACACAGAAAGGCCCTGTCTGAAAGGGATTTGAACCAGGAACCTTTCTGCTGTGAGACTTGGTGCTTACCACAGCACCACCACACATTCAGAAGTCTCCCTCTGTGCAATTTAATTTCACTGGGAAACAATGTTTCAGGGGGAAAAAAATGTAATACTGATCCTAAAATCTGCCCTGATTTTAGTTGAGCCTGTGAAGGGACTAGTTATTCTGGTTTATTTTAAAGGTCTTTCCATTGCAGGAGAGCTTCGTGTGACATACCAAAGAGTTACTCAAAACAAGAAGACAAGCTATCTCTTGTTTCCAGGGTAGGTTAATCTAGCTTGACTGGTATTGTGTTCAGATTTGTGTTGCTCCATACCCAGACGTGCTACAGTCAAGAAACAACAGGGTCCTGTCCCGTCTTGTTTTAACTGCACCTATCCATATCAATCATCCATAACACTGAATAAGACTGTGCGCTACAGTTTTCATAGAAAATACACTCTCATTGCATTCCCATGAGATAAATTAAGCAACAGCAAAGCACAGTTGATAAAATCTGTAACATGTTTTTTCCTCAGCTTTGAAATCACGTTTGTTTATTGTTAGAATTCTGTTTAGACTTTGAACTGGAGCCATGAGACATGCGCATGCACAACATCTTGTACAGTCTGTAGTGCATGAAGCAATTGTAACATTTTTCCAATCTGCTTTTTTTCCATGCAAATTGAGACAGCTGGCGTGATCACCACCCAGGTTTTACAAAAGCATGTCTTGTGTCCCGAGAGGGTTTTTTTAATTTTTTTTTTTTAGGATAGATTTGACTAAATCATGGCTTCTCTAAGACGCACCACATCAGGCCACCTTACCTTTAAAGAATGACTGGTCGTCATTAGTGCACTGGGTTACACTAAGCTCTCCTTTGTCCTTGTCACCGTTGCGACTGGGGATGAAAGCTTGAACGTTGAAGCAGTAGCTCTCTCCCTTGTCCAGTCCGGTAATCTCTATCACGTTACTCTTAGAGGTCTTTTCTTTCTGCAGACAAGGAAGAAAGGAAATATGTTGTTCATATTGTCTGTTCAATGTTTTTTAAGGCTTACATTGCAAGGCTGCTACTCACCTTGCCGGTGCTCTTGTTTTTCCGATAGGTGACATAGTACTGTAGCTCGTCAGAGTAGATATCCCTGATGTTCAGCTGGCGGTCATCTTTGAATATGGCTGTGAGTGGGTCAGTCACATGCAGGGTTGTGGTCCTTTTGTCCTCACTTACAGTCAACTTGAACTCAGGTTTGCCTATATCAGCTTTGGAGGAAAAAACAGAATCACAGTTTGTTAACCAGCGAACAGGAGTTACATGTGCTTGTACCTCTGAAAACAAAACACTGTTCAGGGTCCTTTGGTGAAGAAAAGAAGTTTGTTAAGTTTAAGACTGAAACCCTAAATGACTATCCTCATCCTAACACATTAAATCTGCAGGAACACGAAGGGTTCTTCAACAGCGACTAACGCTTACACTTTTGCTATTGAAACATCTTTGTTTACTTTTACATTACCTCTTTTTTAATGATGTTTAACATGATATATCTGTTGTTTAATTGAAAGGCCCTTACAGTATTTTTTAACGGCCCTTGCTCCGCTATCTGTTAAATATGATTAATGGCTCTTATCCTGCATTGACCTGCTTGAAAATGCATCAGAACAGTGTTAGTTATAGTAAGACTGTATTGCATCGGTGAAATCTTAATACTTAAACTTATATGTTGATTCAAAGACAAACTCTTGTAGCAAAACAACCTACTGTCTTGGTAAGGGCAGAATCGTGGTGAGCTGGTGTAAGGGAACTCAATGAGGTCAGAGGTGGCTCCAGGCAGGGGTACAGACTTTACATCTGCCGTGTAGCAGGTTTTCAAGTCAGTCAAAGAGCTGGACAGATCGCACACCGTCCCGAAGGTCCGGATACAGTGAGCGTTCACCTCTTTGTTGCCGCTAAGCCTGCAGAAATACACACAGACAATGACTGTTAGATACAAAAGTCCCAGAAATTAGACAGGAGGTAAATTATGCACGGCCTCAAGAAAGAGCGGCATACCTATGAGTGTGGTGTTGCTGCTCAAAGTCTACAAGTGTAGACAAGAAAGTAAATTCAAGATCAATCAGAGCACAAAAGAGAGTTTTACTTTTCAGTAACATACGGTTGTTCGTTTGCATTTCTAAATTAAAGTTTGTATAATTTAATTTACAATATTATTGACAATTTCCTTTGCTTTTATTTAATCTTTAAGTGTTGTGTACTTTTTAGTAATCTCTTCTTTATGTCTAGCCTCTAGGGGCTTCAGAGAGCTCCATTAGTGTCCCCAATTAAGATTCTGATTCCTTATAGCATCCACCCTTTCATGCTAGTCATCGCCTCTCTCCTTTCCACATATATCATGTCTATCTGTGCAATAAATGCAAATGTCATAAGAATCATTTAAAATGTTCTGAATACAATGAAAACCAACTTTGTATGCTTACCTTTATATCAACACTCCAGTAAAGCTTTTTGAAAATGAAGTATTTCCACGCCCTGCTGCCCTTATTCTTTTCTGTAATTTACCCATGGAGCAAAGGGGAATGGGCTACAGTCTATAAGCTAACACGCTGAATCCTCAGCTGGTGTTAAATGCTTTTTCTTGAAGAGACTAACAGGTAAGGGTTTGGCTCTGGGTACTTACGTAGAAAATTCTACTGTGTAGGAGTAATCGGATGATGGCTTAGGCTGCCATGTCAAAATAGTTTTAAAGTTGGTTGATTTCCAAGTGACATTCTGTGCTTTGGGATAGGAGCCTGTAAAAAAAAAAAAAAAGAAACAAAAAAACGTGTAAGAGACTTTTCTATCACCTTTAAACCAAATAATCCAATTCATACAAAACACGTCATGTATAAAGGCAACCACTTTGCGGTTGCAGTGACTCATACATTTAGTGTGAGGCTTTCAAGAAGCTGAGTGGGGAGGGACTTTGTCACACAGATTAAGTCATTTCCCAGTAAAACCACAAGAAAGGACTAGGTGAAAATATTTTTAGATAGACCCTTAATTTTTATTAACACTCAACTGTATTCTTCATAGTGTACTTAATTCTTCTTGTGCGCTCCATGTATACTATGTTGATAAGGTCTTATTCTCGCTCGAGCTTTTGGAAACAATATTTTCAGTCAATGCATCTTACTCATAGATGTGTTGAACTCCACTCAACCTGACCTGGCCTTCTCTTCCACTTGGATGAGGAATGCTATAAAATCCTCTGGTTATCACCGTTTTTTGCAACTGTGAGCCTTTTCAGTCCCGTTTGAACCGGGATAACAGAAATGTGAGAAATCACACTTGACATGTGTGTTCTGTCTGGCAATACGTTTAAAGGAACCACAAAATATTTTTTTAAAAATTGAAACTGAGACCTTACTCAACAGAATTCTGTAAATGAATAAATTCAAAAAAATAATTTTAAGGGTCAAATAATTCCTCAAAATGTGCTTGACCAAAAAGTTGATCTGGCACTTAATGATGCCTGTGCAGCTAATGTAATACAAATTAATTTAAAAAAGTGCTGGGAAATCATTAAAACTCTGTTTACTCTCATTATGATGCATTGAATGTTATTCCATCATATTTCTGATTTTTAAAGAGTCACAAGAATGAAACACTATGATTGAAAACACTAACATTAAGAGAAAGGTTAATAGTGAGATTGTGAGTTTGAAAAAGGTTAGCCGCACGCAGCTGGCTATAGTGCAGAAAGTTTTTATTTAATACGGCTACCGACATTAAGATGAAGTCTTTTTGGGGGTGTGATTTTAAAACATTTAACCTTTTCTTTCATATCCATAAGCGTGTGATTGCCCCCTTCCACATCTTAATATTCTGTATTTGTCTGGTCAACACCTCTGCAGCACTACTCTCCACTGTTGTTAAGATCATGTTTTATTTTACTCCTTATTTGTGAGATTTAAGTCAAAAAACATTTACTGGGATGCTTTTAAAGCAAATATGACAAATAAAAACACATTTTCTTCTTGTATTAATACTCATAACAAATTGTACTATTCTCTTACTACCATCATAAACAATCAAGTGTATTATTTAATTTTTCACTGTGCTTTTTTTCAAAACAAAAGATTGACGTTTCATCATTTCATGGTGCAAGGCTAAAAACGTTTTTTTTTTTCCATTGTACGAGGAAATCCCCAAGACTGCAATCCAGCAATACTTTGAAACACACAGCTTTCCCTTTGTTATGCAATACAGTAGTGTGTTGTTTCTTACTTTTGAATACAAACTTACAATTTACTGTAGCATAATAAGCAGAAGTGTATTTAAAAACAAATAAAGATTATTTTGCAAAATCACATAGACAAGGTATTTCAAGTGAAATTTTTTAGAAATGTAATGTAATTTTTCTTATTCTTATTATTAATAACAATAATAATAAAATAATAATAATAATTATAATAATGATTATTATTACTTTTTTTCTCCCTGTTCTCTTCTTCTTTGAAATGATTTTAGCCTGCATGAATTAAAAACATAATAAAACTAATTTATTTTTATTACACTCCTCCTTCCATGACCCTATACTATCGTAGAATTACCACGCTACTAATGATGTTGAAATTAATCTGGAGAAAAGATACATATTATTGGACTTTCCTTGGGCTATGGGTTGCAGGATAAACGGAGTCAATGGGACAAGCAGCCAGGACCCACCTGAAGCGGAGAGAGTGAAGAAAAGGATCACAATACACGGAGCTGCTGATGATCTCATGACGGCTTAAGTTCCAATCTCGTGTTGTCGTCCCGATCAGGTTTAGGTTTATATGTCTCGGAGTCCTCTCGCTGTTTAGTCCTGAATGGAAGTAACACAGGCACTGAGTACGAGTTATGAATGCTTCACCGCTGGTTACAGCAATGTAACCGTTTCAAGGCTGCCCAAATAAGGATCGTCCGGCAGTGGCGTCACCAGACTGGGCAGTATTACACACACACACACACACACACACACACATATACACACGTACACACTACATACGTGCCTCTCCTGCCGAGGTCATTCAGCGGATACAGTGAGGGTATTCTCCAGATTCACTGCTATTTCCACTACACTGAAAAGTCAACCACATGGCTAATTCAGATGAAGCTTTTCTGCAAAATACCAGACCTTATAACAAAACCTCCCGAGTAACCTGCAGGGGAACATCATTACCTCAACACTATTTTCATAAATTATTTTCATGCCTATTTTTTAGTATTAGTTTCAGCTTCAAGTCACACACACGTGTACCTGTCTGTCTGTCTGTCTGTCTGTCTGTCTGTCTATTAATCAATCAATATCACACCCATATTGTAGTCAGTTAAAAAAAACACGTGCTGTTGACCACAACATCATATTAATACTCTGTGACAGAATAGTGGAAAGAATAGCTCTCTCCCCCCCCAGACAAACTGGGTTCATACTGATGACTTTGTCTGGACCATATGGACCACTGCAGTTCTGTACATGAGTCAAGACAGCCACTCACACAGCAAACAGCTCCAGTGGATGAACTGGGCTTCTATTTATAGACTCAGTTGTTTAGATTTCCAGGCACAGAAATGCCATCGACGATTAGTTCACGCGGTGGTCTCAAGCCTTTTTTTAAGGAAGAAAAGATTCACTGTATTTACTCCAGTAGCATAAAGCCCAGGAAAAACAGAATACTTTTCTGAAGTCTGTTTTAATTATCATTAAAGTTACTTCTGTATGCTAAAGTACTGCAGTGCCTAACAGAAGTTTGTAATTGTCTGGCACTGTGCCATTTGTTGGCCCCCAACCCTATTACACTCCCCCCCCTCTTCCCCCTTTAAGTCTTTAGTGAGGGGCCAAGCTGCAGCGGTCTGTGGCTTTGAAATCAAAGGAACCTACAGTATAATAATATGTCATCACCTACTAGTCCTTCTACTTTCATTTTATTTTACTCTGTCCTCGACAAGCCAGATTCATTGTCTCATTATGTAAAGGTACACTTTGTAGCCCTACAGAGAGTTTTGGTATCATTTGACCTATAAAAAAAAGATTATATATATGATGCTCACACAAATTAGACACAATGTAGATATTCTCCACTCAAAAACTGGATAGGAGTAAAGTAGACAGTAATTCTGGTACACCATAGTAAATAGGAAGTGATCTCTAAGCAACCACAGACCAGTGACACAATTTCAGCAGAATTTCAAGATAATCCAAAGTACTGATTAAAAAATACAATTGAGATAGTATTGTCTTTTATTTTAGGATATTGTGCAATGCCTAACAATGAAGAAACATAATGGTTTTTTTCCCCTCAGTGGAACAGTTTGGAAAATGTGAATGCAGGGACGCTGGTTTCTCAGTCGGTAAAGCAGGCGCCCCAGAGGCTACAGTCCTTGTCACTCTGGTCGCACACCTAAAAATAATCTTTTAAAAAAACAGAATGAATTCCTGGGCTGAGAAGGCTCAGGACTGATTAACTAACAGAAATAAAAAATAAAACCACAGAACTGTTTGAAAAGACCTGCACTGGTTATGCTCTTTTCTTGTTTTTAAAGATTTATTTTTGGCTTTTTATGCCCGTATTGGAGAGATAGGACAGTGGATAGAGTTGTAAATCAGAGAGAGAGAGTGGGGAATGACATGCGGGAAAGGAGCCACAGGTCGGATTTGAACTGGGGGCCGCCAGCTTGGAGAACCCTAGCCTCCACACATGGGGTGTGCGCACTAACCACTGTGCCCGCAGCGCCCCAATCTCTTTTACAGTAAACTGAATACTGTCAGATCTGAGGCCAGAGTTTGTACATGATGTCAGACAGACTTCACATGACTTTATTAATGTATGCATGTTATATCCAATCTTTAAACTCAGATCATTTTTTAGATATGTTGGAATATATATCTGTATTTTGTTCAAATGTGCAGTAATCATTGATTTGTTGATAAGGTAACTAAAATCTAAACAGTTAATTTGGTACACAAAATAGAAGATAAAAAAGATTTTAAAATATTAGTGTGATTTGAATTTGGTTTCATACACAGTATAGATCTAGGGTTTCCTCACAATCACTTAAGCACTGAAAGAGAAGGCAAAATGACAACAGCTTACACTTCCCTAAAGGAGTTCTTCAGAAATCACTCCTTGATAAATTGTCAATTACTGATACTGCAAATGCAAGACTGTGGAAAATTGTTGTTTCCATTAGTGTCATTTAGAGAAGTGGATTTTCTCCTCATGTAACATCTTCACTCTTCATGTTTGTTTTAAGGTCCAAGGAAGGGGAAATGTCTTCCTTGATTCTTGGAGAGAAACAAAGGCCTCTGAGAATGGACGTCATCCAAGACTTCCTGTTATGGTTAGCTCGTTAGTTATCGTATAGTTAAAAGCCTGACCCTAGAGCTCTAAAGTACAAGCAGCCATCAACACTTGCATGCAGATGAATGTGTTGTTCACACCACTAGTTTGAATTTCAATTGTTAAAAAAACATGCTGGATGAGTTTGATCTGAAAGAAAGAACAAACACGCATACCTGTATAAATCTAAGATGTCAAACATGTTGAATGCAAAATGGCATGTATTGTGCCTCAATATAAAATGCTGCACTGAGACTAAGTGGACCTGTACCTGTGACTCGTTCATATAACAAATTCCAAAAGTCCAGATATGTTGGTAGATTTATTAAACAAAAAAGGGAAAAAATTATTCTGAACAAAAGGTCCAAAAGATGATGATGATAAAGATAACGACGATGACAGTCAACAGAAAATATTTCAGACTCACCCTCTTCGTCTAGCCTCCCGCCACCTACAATGCACAGGTAAAAATAAGGTCAACCACTGCTAATTACCGGAAATAATATAAAACCCATATAAGGAGCAAAATGTAACAAATAATCAACTGAGGTAAAAATACACATTATGGCTCCAACAGCATGCAAGCTCATTTAACTATATCTGCCCAAGACAAAGAAGTAAGTGTTGAAAATCACAGTTTGTTTACATTTAGTCTTAGAAGTCAAGCAGGACGACGTTACAGACTGAAGTGAATGTTGTAAAAAGACGGCATCATTAACAATGGACTTGAAGCTTGGACTTTGTCTATTGGGTGGTTAGTCCTGTGATTGTTTTTCAAATGAATCAGAGGCGCTGCTTGTCAACAGGCAAGGCAGGCAACTGCTTGGGGCCTCAGGGGCCCCCCGAGGGCTGACAAACTTTAAACCACAGCAGTTCAAACTGTGCAAATGTTGCAATGACAGTAGGAAACCTCCCTAAGGGGGCCCCATCTGACAGCACTCACTCTTGTTGCCCTGCAATGCGTATCATGCATTATTAGTGTGAAAACCACTAAAGGAAAATGAAGAGGAATTATCTGTCTGGGAGTGAAAACAGCACAATGGTGTTTGGAGGGGTCCACAATTAGTGAAACTTGATTATTTGAACAGTACAGCGTAGTGTGTTTCTCCCAGGTGGAGCCTGAAATGGCAGTTTCTGACTGCAATATATGCTGGTTATTGCCCTACACAAGTCGAAAGCTGAAATATATGATCAGAATGCACTTTCCAAAAGGTTAGAAATCACTGTAAGGTAACAGTACTTGTGTGATAAAGGTTTAATGGTGCAGTTCTCAACCCGCAGGGAGTGGCTGATAACAATGCTGAACCAAACCCAGCCTCAGCTCTGTGGAGTTTGAAGTGCTGAGGTGTTAAATTCCCCGCATACAGATAAAGACTGACTGGAGAACAGCGCTCAGAGTGTTCTATGGAGCCTTTTCTTTTGGCATAGGGAAAATAATATTCATATCATACAATAACATGTCATCTACTTTACATAAACGGACCCTTATATAGGGGGGAGATTGACTAATAAATATTTGTTTGTGTAAACTGAATTGGCCATTGAACCAGAACAAGTTGAGAAATAAAACCCCTTAGTTTAAATAAATTATATATTATATTATTATATGGTCTTTTAACAACAAAAGTCAGAGCTTATCATGTCTCACTTTCATTGGATGCTCAAAGGGCTCTCTCACCATAGAGCAAAGCTGTACAAATATTTGAAGGTGTTCAACTATCCTTTACTATGTTACCTTTTTTGTTTGTTTTTTTCTTCATTTTTTTCTGAGAATAAAATCAAGCTGCAGGTAAAAGACAAATGTAAAGCTTGCCTTTCCAAGAGAAACGAGGCAAGCATTCTTTTGTTTGTTTCAATATTCATGCTGGCAATGACTTTCTCTGTGTAAAGGTAAACAACAAATTCAGGTGTCCGGCTTCGCTGTGGCTTTTAAATATATTAATCTAGTGTAGAACACACACCAAAAATGAGGGATTCATTTGATGTTATGCAACAATACTGTACTTCTTTGTTGTGATTAATTCCAGATTCAGTTCTGTAAGTTAACCATAGCACTGGTATTGTACTGGTATGTCACTAAGAATGAGATCCTCTTTGTGGTAGCAGATCAGAGTATTTTGTGTATTAGACAACAGAATCTAAACAAGCTAGTGGAATTCATCTAACGTGCTCGTCCTCATCTGCATACATCATCAAGTCATCCAACTGCAGGTGGGGACTTTACCTTTACCTTATATCATGTGATGTAAGTCAAAAAGTAAACATTACAGCCAACTGTGAAATTATGACAGTCAGAGCTTTTAATTTGTTTTATTTGTCATTCTGCTGCTTCACAAATTGAGGAGAAAGTTCCACCCTCAGATTAAAATAGTTTCACACAGCATGTTTGGCCCCAGTTAAATATTCTCACTACACCAACTATGTGTGCACACATAGTGAGTTATGATCACCAACACAGACCTGACTATGTGAGGCCTAGGATGTTATTGCACTAATGTTTTGGTCAAATTTCCTTTTCCTGTCTAGTTTTGCACATTTCCAATTACAACACTGCACAGT